TTCTTTAAGTTTATGCAAGAAGTTATTAAATAAAGATATCTTCAAGCTCTAAGTAAAGTTGTAGAGGGGATAATTCTAAGTCAAATAGTGGTTAGATCATCAAAATTGGCCCAGTAATTATTAAGATATATAGAATTAAAAATCTAAATATAAGGATTATAGTAACTTTGCTGATCTTTATATTTGCACCTTTAACCCAAGAACCACTGAGCCAATTTTGATAATCTAACCACCATTTGACTAAGAATTATCACCTTTACAACTTTATTTAAGCCTTGAGGATATCTTTACTTAGGCCATTTGAATTTAAAAATTCGTTTAACGTTCTCTCCCTCTATCACTGGAGCTCCTCCTGACATTAAACAATAATCAGAGTAGCCAATAAAAAGTGAGTATAAAAATATTATTATTGAATAAAAATATATATTATTGAAGTGGTAATGACGACAATTGTGTAACCAAATTAATGACACACATATGTTTTGCAGATAGCTACATCGATATATGTATAATTAGTAATAGTTGTTTCACAAATTTTCTATATGAATTTAAATTACTGTTATAGAGATAGTACTTCTTCATGGGAGCAAGGATAAATTTACCTGTAAAACATTTTGGAATTTATGCAATATGAAAGTAAATACTACTACAGTCTTAAATATTGAATATCTTGGTAAATACAATTTACTGCATGGAGTAATAACAAAAGTAAGCTTTATCAAAGACAATTTACCTATTAATAATCTTTATAGCTATAAAAATCCGACCTATTTTCTAAATAATGAGTGTGTTAAGTACTATGTACACCACATTATTCTCACATAGCCCACTATTTTTAAAATTAACGTATTGGGAAAAAGAAAGTATTTAGCTATGAAGTCAGAATGGTAAAAATGTGCATATTCATTATAGTAGTCATTATAATGTAGTAATCAAATATAGTATAGTATGTGATGTAAATTATGTAATTGGCATTAACGTTAGAATTAAAATTATGAAAATTTGAATTGTTATTTCTCTCTGTTGCTATTGAATTTTTGAAAATCATTTATATTAGATAAATTATAAAAATGATTTTTCTCTTTGTAACTGTAATAAGAGAAAGTAAAACAATTTTTTCAGCTGCATTATTTGAAGTTGATGAAAATTTTACCTTTAAAGATTTACTTTATCAAGCAGATAGTGATTATATTTGAGAGAGATTGTTAAAGTTGATATTCAAGTAAAGGATATAAATACATAGCACAATATAGTATCTAGTATAGATGCAAGTTTAAAGATATGTATGTGAGAAGAACAAAATATATCACATATTTGGTTCACTGTTCAGAAAAAACAATTAGTGTCCTCTGCAAGCCAAATTTCTTCAACATCCAATGTTTTTAATGAAATAATGAATGCAGCAACCAGAAAGAGTTTACCAAATTTAAAACTAACAACAAATTACAATGACCGATTATATAATAGTTTGTTGGCACTTTTGGATAGTAACAATATGGTGCATACAATTCCATTAGTAAATTATTTATCAATTAGCTTGTATCTCTTCTTTATTATTTAGATGATAAGCATTCTACTTTTAAGCTTCATAGCATTAAAATATCATCGATTTTCCTTCAGTTACTATTATATCAGCAAAATTCTTATTATAAAAATGGTTCAAATTACAAAACTACTTTAAGTTATAAAGAGTTAAGTTTTATGCTAAAGCTATGGGCGAGTAAAGCTTGTTGGAATCAACCTGTAACTGCATCCTTGGAATTAAGTTTAGTAGCTCGTATATATAATAATTATTTAAAAACTGTAAATTAGCATGTGCAAAAGATTCAATTGCATCTTCTCTAGCTAGAAGTTCTGAAAATGATAGTACACTTGAAATGCGATCATCATGTTTATTTAATGATATTCAAGAGATATATTTGCCAGTTGCTGAACAAATTAGAATAACTAATGAATATGAAGTTATATCACTTGAAACTTTTTTACTTGAAACAAAAAAAACTGATTTTTATACTTATCAAATTTTTGTATTGATTCTACTATTATGTTATATCGATATCATCATGCAAACTATCTGGGGATATTAAACTTTATTTGAGAATATTGAGTTACGTAATGATACAAAAAATATACAAGTGATAATTAAAACACAAACAATATTACTTCAATTTTTTACTTGATATATGAGAAGATATATATTTGCGAAGATAGTATAATTTGTTAATATATATTTAGTTTTATAATAAATATAAAAAACTATTAATACTAATATTTAATTATAAATAGTATTTATTAATTACAAAAATTACTCCAGATGTATTATGTTATTTATTTCATGATTTAACAGGAGACTCTAGTGCTTTTGATAATTCTTGCTCTGAACAAGTTGATCAAAGAATAAAGATGGTACTTGAACTTGGTGATCCTGAAATTATTATAAATTTATGCAAAAATAATGAATTTAAAGAAATAAATTTGATGTATTTTGGGATGAAATGGCATGTTATTTTGAAAAAAATCTTTCTTTAATACATGAAAGGCATTATAATAATATACTTTATTTGTGATTTAAGAGAGTCTATTATTGAATATTTAGAAATAAGCATAAGGAATTTTTGCTTTCTGATAATTGTTTAATACCATCTGATCAATAGATTTCTTTTTAGTTTTGTCCAAAAAATCCCTAATATAAAGCAAGTACACAGTATACAGGATATTTTCAAATTAAATATATGGTTCAAACTTAGCAAATAAGAAAATCTCATATAGATATGTATTATTGTCAAGCAATTTTTAAATATATTCATCATTTTGAATCAAAGTATAAAAAATTTACTTGCCTTATTTTTGCGGATGACAAGCATAAGGTGCCAATTGGAGAAGAAATACCTAGTGTTCCAAATAAGCTAGCTTAAACAGGCTTATTTGTCACACCCTTGCGGCTTGCTGCGGCTTATAAGCTGTATAACAATTAAAAATATGTAAGGGTATGCAAGATATATGCAAAAGTATGCAGGATATATGCAGAAGTATGCAAATGCATGCAGAAACATGCAAATATATAAAAATATGCAAATGCACGCAGGGGTACACAAATACAAGCAGGAGTATGCAAATGCAAGCAGGAGTATGCAAATGCAAGCAGGTGTATGCAAATATAAGCAGGAGAATGTAAATGCAAGCAGGGATATGCAAATACAAGCAGGATATGCAAATGCAAGTAGGGGTATGCAAATACAAGCAGAGTATACAAATGCAAGCAGGGGTATGCAAATGCAAGCAGAGGTATGCAAATACAAGCAGGAGTATGCAAATACAAGTAGGGGTATGCAAATGCAAGCAGGGGTATACAAATGCAAGTAAGGGTATGCAAATACAAGTAGGGGTATGCAAATGCAAGCAGATACAACTAGGGGTATGCAAATACAAGCAAATACAAGCAGAAATGTGCAAATGCAAGCAGGGGTACGCAAATGCAAGCAGGGGTATGCAAATACAAGTAGGTATGCAAATACAAGCAAATACAAGCATAGTATGCAAATGCAAGCAGGAGTATGCAAATACAAGCAGGAGTATGCAAATGCAAGCAGGAGCATGCAAATACAAGTAGGGTATGCAAATACAAGCAAATACAAGCAAGTGTATGCAAATGCAAGCAGGTACACAAATACAAACAGGGTATGCAAATACAAGCAGGGGTATACAAATACAAGCAAAGATATGCAAATACAAGCAGGGTACGCAAATGCAAGCAGGGGTATGCAAATGCAAGCAGAGATATACAAATATAAGCAGGAGTATGCAAATACAAGTAGGGGTATGCAAATACAAGCAAATATAAGCAGAGGTATGCAAATGCAAGCAGGAATATGCAAATACAAGCAGGGGTATGCAAATACAAGCAAATACAAGCAGAGATATGCAAATACAAGTAGGAGTATACAAATATAAGCAGGAAAATGCAAATACAAGCAGAAGTATGCAAATGCAAGCAGAGGTATTCAAATACAGACAGGGGTATACAAATGCAAGCTCGGGTATGCAAATACAAGCAAATACAAGCAAGGGTATACAAATGCAAGTAGGAGTATACAAATATAAACAGGAGAATGCAAATACAAGTAGGGGTATGCAAATACAAGCAAATACAAGCAGAGTGTACAAATGCAAGCAGGAGTATGCAAATATAAGCAAATGCAAGCAGGAGTACGCAAATGCAAGCAGGGTATGCAAATACAAGTAGGAGTACACAAATGCAAGCAGGGTATACAAATACAAGCAAATACAAGCAGAAGTATGCAAATGCAAATAGGAGTATACAAATATAAGCAGATGAATGCAAATACAAGTAGGGTATACAAATGCAAGCAGGGGTATACAAATATAAGCAGAGGTATGCAAATACAAGCAGGGATATACAATGCAAGCAAGGTTATGCAAATGCAAACAGAGGTATACAAATACAAGCAGGGGTATACAAATACAAATAGGAGTATGCAAATACAAGCAAATATAAGCAGAAGTACGCAAATGCAAGAAGGCATATACAAATGCAAGTAGTGCTATAAATACAAGTAGGGTATACAAATGCAAGCAGAGGTATGCAAATACAAGCAAGGGTATGCAAATACATATAGAAGTACACAAATACAAGCAAGAGTATGCAAATACAAGTAGGAATATGCAAATGCATGCAGAGGTATGCAAATATAAGCAGGTGTAAACAAATACAAGCAGAGATATGCAAATACAAGCAGTAGCATGCAGGTATGTGCAAATATGTATAAAAATATGCAAATATATATAGAAGTATATAAATATATACAAGGGTATACAAATATATACAAGAGTATACAAATATATACAGAAGTATGCAAATATATATAGGTGTATACAAATATATACAAGTGCATGCAAATATATACAGAGATATAAAATACATACAGAGCATACAAATATATACAAAAGTAAGCAAAATATATATAGAAGTATACAAATACATATAAAAAGATATACAAATATGGTTGATCTTTAGTATAACTATACTAAAGAAAATCTGCAAATACATATAGGAACATGCAAATAGTATACAAAATGTATATAAAGAATATATAAAGAGTATACAAAATGCATATAGGAGTATGCAAAATATATACAGAGAGTATGCAAAATGCATACAGAATTATGCAAAATATATGCAAAGATATACAAAATATATACAAAATATGCTAGAAGTATAAACTTTTTTTAATTTTTTAAAAAAATTATAGAGAAGTATTTTGTAATTATTAGTGTTATTAAAAATAGAACTAAATCAAACTTTAGGTTAAGTTTAAGTTTAGTTCAAATTTGAATTAAAACTAAACCAGACTTTTAAAAATATAGTTTGGTCTAAGCTTGATATTGATATTAAACTTTTAAACTAAATCTGAGTTTGATTTGAGTTTAGTTTGAAAATTTATAAATTTGGTTGAGTTTGATATAATAGGTTTAGTAATTTTTCTTTCAAATTCTTATTAAATAAATACAAATTTTATCTTCAAATTAGCATAAAGAGCTTTAATTCTGATTAGTAAATTATTAAATATATTATTATATATACTGCATATATAGCTTTAAGTGATTCTTATATTTTGAAAAATTAATTACTATTTTTATATAGTATAATGTATTTAAAATTATAAAAATTATAATAATAATGATTATATTTGAATTTTAAAATTGTAATAATCAAAAAATACAATTCTTTCTGACAATTACTTGAATCAAGATTTCCCATAAAAGAAAAGTTAAGTATAGCTACTAAAGAGGCAAAAAGACCTGTAGTAGCTAGACAACAAAGCGGTTTAATAAAAGTCAACTGTTCGTATTATCCAGAGACTCTTTTATATATTTGACATGAAAGCTGAAAGTATCTTTATACAAGATAACTGGCAAGTAGTAGCACTCTTGTATATGAAATTTTAGTGAAAATGCAATACAGTTTTCCATCAATGAAGCTATCTGTTGCAAAATAACTAAGAAATAGTAAAGAACTCACTCTCTTAAGCCACACTCTTTTTATTTAGTCAAGTGGCCCTTTACATACTTACTTTTGCTCTTTTGCCAGTTTTCCAAAGTTTTTTTTACAAAAAGTGAAGATTTGGCTTACTCTTTTCAAAAAATCAGCATTGTTCACTTTCCAAATTTAAGCAAACTCAATAGACTGCAATCATGTGTCTTGTTTATCAAAAAAAATAGCACTACTCCATGTAACTAGGATTGGGGTCCCAGGTTAAAGAGGTATCCAAGTTGGACTTATAGTTAGAAATAATAATAAATATTAAGGCATAGTTTTACAATTAAGATATACAACTTGTTGTATATAGTATATAATTTTTTAGCCTAGCACAGGTTTCTACATTAATAGTGCATTTTTTGTTTTTTTTCTTTGTTGTTTGTAAGATTTATTGTTGAAATAGTAAGTGCTTGGGTTTATATATCTGCTTCTTGACAGAGACAGAACCTAGTTGTCAGTTTGTTAATTATAGGTTTTTTTCTTTGCTTTTCTTTTTTTATATTTCTTTATACCTTCTTTTGATTCCATTTTTATTTTTTCCTTTTATTATTTTGTTTTTTTTTAGTGTATCATTTTAGTTTTTCTTAATATTAAGCTTTGCACTTGCAGAAACTTTTTTTTTTTTTGGTTTCGGTAAAGAAAGGAAGATTTAAGAAATTAGTTTTAACAGATTAGCAACATCTTCTAATTCGTATATGAGTTAGTATGACATGTCACATCTAGATGTATATTTGTAGCCAGGTGATGTCAAGCTTGCAATTTAAATTTTTTACAGTTAGTACTTTGGTTGTTATAAAGTAGATAGAGTAGTATAGAGTAGTAATTTAGTTGTTGTAAAAAATGTATTATTTGAGCACTGGCAAGACTGTTAAAGAATAAAAAAAAAAAAAATTGTAATAATAGTCCACCGACCTTTGCTGATCTATTACTAATATATATGATTATAATGATTTATAAATATATTATAGTTTACTCTATACTGAAGATTTTAAATTTTTGATTTATATTTATATATTATTCAAACTTATATATCTTTACTATTCTAAATAGAATATAGATAATATTTATAATATACAAAAGTGAACTATATACTATATATTAATATAATAGTAAGCTTAGCAAAAGAATTTTTATAGTAATTTATAATAAAATCACAAAAATTTCAATATATAATTACTTGATCTTAACTATATGTTATTTCTTACTAGAACACTAGAATAACAAATTTATTAACAAGGTCTTTTATAGCAACTTATAATAGTAAATATAATACAAACTAACTTGATTTTAATTACAAACTATTGCTACTAGAATCATAAATAAGTTTTATATCAGCAAATTTAATAGAGCATAATATTGTGTAATAAATTACACAATATATAAAGACTATAATATTATGTAAAATATTGCACAATATTGCTTTTTTTTTTTTAAACTTAAACAATCCTGCTTTTATTGACTAGAATTTAGTATAATAGCTATGATTATATGAGTATCTAAACACAATAGCCTACAATAGCTAGGGCCTTCAACCATTCTACTTTTCAATAAAGACTCACTCAGCTGCTAACTAGAGTGCCCAAATGCGATCAGCCACAACAGTATAAATTCTCATTTCTGGTGTCTAACTTGCTAGATGATTACCTATCGAATCACTAATAGTTTTTGCTAGCTATGTCAAGATTGCATTATTCTTTAACATTTTTTCTTCTTTAAAAAGGTATATACAATGAGGGGGATAATATAAAACAGTTACCAAGAAAACGAACAACAAAAAAGAGGAAAAGAAAAAACAAAAAAATTAAAATATAAACAGACTACATATAGGAAAAAGGGAAAAAAAAAAATGAAAAAAAAGAACAAATGATATCAGAAAATCTAAACTAGACTAAATCTAGCTACAGCACTATTATTACCCATGCCAGGCTTGCAAAAATTATATAACAAATAGACTATTTATATATCTTAGTTGTAAGGCTTCACTTAACAATTATTTTCTGATCTAAATATCCAAACCAGATATATATTTGCCGCTAATACCAATTGATACCACATGTAGCAGCACAGCAAACTGCCGAATCTATCCAAATATAGAAGGAGTAAACAATACTAATCTTTTGGAGAGAGTAAGCTGTTTTGCCCACTTTTGTAAAAAAAATTTGAAAGAGTAGCAAAGAAGTAGAAAAAAGACATGAAACTACTTGTTTTGTTTAAAGAAAAAGTGTAAATTTTAATTAAAAGCAATAGTAATTGCAGGAAGGTGTAGAAACTTTTCTTTTCAGTAAGTAATAAACTCTGGGCTTGTCAGCAAATAGCATATAAGAATTATTTTTAAATAACAAGTGCTGTCTTTAGTGGTAAGTAATAAACTCTGAGGAAGTTAGCAGATAGCATATGAGAACTACCTCTAAATAACAACTGCTGGCTTATGGAATTTTGCCTGACTATTTTAAGCCTTTATAATGTTTGTATTTTTCTAATAAAGTTTTAACTTTTTGAATATTGCACAATATTGTAAAATATATAAGTACGCTTTTTTAATTCTTTGACAGTCTTGCCAGTGCTCTTTTATTAAGACTATATTTTAGATGAAAGTTGAACTCTCTCGAACAATACAAATCATTTATAACCCATAATAGGGAGTCTCACAATTGCAAGCCTGACATTACCCAGCTGTGATAAAATGTGCTTACATGCGACTTGTCACACCAACCTGTATACAAGTTAGATAAACTTTGTCAGCTCATCAAAGCTTTTCCCTTTATATCCTCTTTCTTTACTAAGAGCAAAAGTAATGATCTTATATCTAATACAAAACCACTAATAATACCAAGAAGACAAAATAAAAAACTAACTAAAAAAACAAATAGAATGAAGAAGAATTTTTAAAGGAAAAATAAAAAGGGGGTACAATGAAATGTAAAAAAAGAAAAACAAAGAGAAAAGCCCGAAAGCTAACAAAGAGGAAACTACTTCTATCAAGAAATAGTACAAATGTAACGAAAGAAAAAAGAAAAGTTTACTATTATAACCATGCCAGGTTTAAGAAAAAATTTTATAACAACTGCAATGTTTGTATATCTCGACTATAAAATCTAACATATTTTTATCTGACTACCAGCCACTTCCGGATGTCTCTTTTGCCAGAGACCCGATTCTAATTACATGGAGAACCCATATCTATAAACTACGTCACGTATTGTATCCACCAATAAACAAGGCACGTGGTTGCATTCCTGAGTATGTTCAAATTTGGGAGATAAACAATGC